ATGGGCGCGTCATGACGACTAATAAGGAGTCTAGAGGTTGTCGTGGCTCTCGAATCATGCCGCCACCGCTGCAACAATGCTTACTCTTTGTACTGTACTCTCCTGTACGGATACTGCTCGCGTGCCTGCTCGCAATGGTCGCGTGCCCCGTACCGCAAAATTGATTCTAAAAAAAAGACGCCATGTCCAAGGGGGAAATGCCTCACATGTCACTCTTACGCTCCTGTGCGCCCCTAGCCTTGACCACCCATGCCGTTTATGCCGTTAGCGGGTGCCATTAATCTGAGCCATCGACCCACGGCCCAGGTCAGGTACCGCCCGGCCGGGGGGTCACCCCTGGGAGCCCAGGAAGAAGCGGGAACTTTTGGAAAGATTTTTGTGAGATTTCTCCACCGCGTTGGTTCTCTGGGGTAGCTTGACAGACCGGCTTCGTTTAGGCACAGCTCGTATGAGGCGCAACATGCGCTGTACAACACAGGGGGGTGGAGGTTCTCGCCCGGGATGAGGACAGGCATTGGTAGAGGGGCTCCGCTGGGCTGAAGCCATGGAAGCAGAGGAGAACATAACACAATGGTTCATTGGCTCTCTCGAACAATGGCCCCTGAATGTGAGGGCCAATGCCCATCGGCTGGCCGGGAAGAAGCAAAAAAGTTGTGTGAAGTGTGCCCCGGGTCGAGATTGAATACGAGAGAGCCATGCGACCGCCACTCATCACGGCTCAGCCCTATTGAGGTGCCCGACGGACACTTGCTTGACGCTCAGAGCGCGCAAAGCAAAGGTCACACCCGTGCGAGGTGTGTTTAATTAGATTAGACTAACTTGCCTGTTGGTCATTGCCACACGCGACCTGTTGCTGCATTCTGACTGATCCCCTGAAGTGAAGGCGGCTTGCTTTTTGACCATTGTTTGTCTCCGTACTTACGGAGACGGATCCCGTTCCTCCACTTTCTTCTGTTTCCCCCAGATTCTTGAACGGCTTCTCGACTCTCGTTTTCTTTTCTCTCCTTGAAGCCGTTTTTCCCTTTCCATGTTCGACATCTTCTTCTAGCCTGTACTTTTTTCATCAGAGTCGTGTTAGTAAAGATGTTTGCCACGCTCGTTCCCTTTTGTTTCTCGTTAACCTTCGTTTCATTGACCTTGACCAAACTGGTCCACCTCTCCATACACGCCAAGACCGTCTCCTTGGCTGCCTTTGTCCTTTTTCTACCCTCGCTGCTTCTCCCGGACCTCCTGGTCATTTTGGTGTCACGTCTAGCTCTGCGACAGAAGAAGGGCGTTGCTGCTGTCACCAGCTGCGTGCTAGGCTGTATTTTCTCGTACGTTGAAGCTTCAATTTGTCTCACCTGTTTGTACTCGACTGACAAGACATTTTAGTCTCATCGTTTTTGGTGCTGCTTCCTCACAAATTGGCTTCTTTTACTCAACCGGCAATGAGATTAAGTGGTCCGAGGCACGAAGCTATGCTGGCGACAAGGATGGCATGAAGATCCTGCTCAGCGGTCTCAACACCGTCATTGCATCTGGGCTTCTCATTTTTGGTCTTGCCTGGGTTGCTAAGTGGTATCTTTACAGAGGGGTTGGCGCATTGCTGGTCTTGGTCGCAACACCTATCAACTATGGTATTTCGTCTCACATATCATCAGCCTCACTCAAGCTAATACTTCCAAGTCTGGACATCATGCCGAGGCTCCAGGGCTCAGAAACGCCGCAACTACTACCCTCGATCCCCCAACACACTCCTCGACCCGTACAGCTCCGACAGCGACCTCAGCGACTCTAGCGATGATATGGACGAGATGAAGGGTGGCCTTGAGAGTGGCTATGGAGACAACCGAGAGGAATTCCCAACTCAAAAAACACCATGGCTCATTGTCTGTGGTGTTGCCGTCTTCATCACACTCACCACCCTCTGCCGACCATTCGCGCCGTACCACATGATGTCGGCTACCCTCCCCCTCCAGATGCTCGAGATGTTCAAGTCGACGCCCGATGTGTGCGCTGAGAATGCTGCGCTCAACGGAAACCCGTGGCCTTACCCCGAGCAACTTGAGGTGTCCAAGTGGGAGAGTCCCAATGGTCACTTCAAGGGATGGGCCCCGGGAAGCAACAACGATTACGTTCAGCAGTACCGCGACACCGTCCCCGATTGGCTCCCCAAGGAGGTTCCTTCTGGATTTGGCAAGTGGTCCTTGAAGAAGGAAGTTCCTGAGGAGGTTGAGAAGACCGACAACTCGACCGACAAGGCTAAGAACAGCTGCCCTGGCATCGAGGCCCAGGACGCCTTTTACAACCCCGTCAGCGACCCCATGAAGATTTCGAACCAGGACAGCGACATCTTGGAGGTTCTGCAGGACGTGCTCAACAACGGAACCGTCAAGATCAAGCACGTTGCTCTGATCATGATGGAGAGCTTCCGAGAGGAACTCTTCCCTCTTCAATACGGTTCTGACATGCACAAGATCATCATGCAAGCTAACAAGGGCAAGGATGAGGATGAGATCAACGCTCGACTTGCTGGCCTGGGACCCGTTGCCCAGCGCCTCACTGGAAAGTCGGCTGGCTTCAAGAAGAAGGACGGTTCCGCTTTCGACCCAGTAGCAATTCCTCAGTGGAACGACACGACCGAGGAGGGATTCGGTGGTATCAATGTCGTTGGAGGTTTCACGACATCTTCTCTTTCATTCAAGAGCATGGCTGCTATTCACTGCGGTGCCTGGTCCATGCCCGTCGACGGCTTCGAGGAGTCCGAGACACAAGCTTACCAGGCTTGTATTCCCCAGGTTCTGGAACTCTTCAACAAGATCAAGGAGGACAAGCCCACCGACGACTTTTTGGATCAGCAGTGGTACCCCGCCTTCTTCCAGTCCATCACCGACGGATACGATCGCCAGGACAAGTTTGACGAAAAGATCGGCTTCAAGCACATTGTCACCAAGGACCGCCTGGACGCTGACACCAAGGACGAATTGGAGGAGATCAACTACTTTGGATACGCCGAGACGACTCTCAAGTCCCACATCAAGGACTACATCACCAAGATCCAGAAGGAGAACAAGCGCATGTTCTTCTCCCACTTTACCAGCACCACCCATCACCCCTGGGGCGTGCCTCAATCCTTCAAGTCGGAGGAGTATCTTCAGACTCACGGCAAGAATGGATGGCACGAGGACTTCAACAACTACATGAACGCGATCCGCTTCACCGACGCGTGGCTCGGTGAGCTCATGCAAACCTTTGACGACTTTGGCATTTCCAACGAAACCCTCGTCGTTTTTGTCGGCGACCACGGGCAGGCCTTCAAGGAAGACCAGCGTTCCAAGACCGGCACCTACGAGAACGGTCACGTCAGCAACTTCCGCGTGCCCATCACCTTTAGACACCCCAACATCCCTCGGGTCCAATATAATGCTAATGCCACCTCCATCTCCATCCTCCCCACTATTCTCGACCTCCTCATCAACACCGGCTCTCTCAATAAGAAGGACACCGAAGCCGCATCCGATCTCATCCACGACTACGAAGGCCAATCCCTAATCCGACCATACAAGGCCTCCCACAACGGCCGCAGGGCCTGGAACTTTGGCATCATCAACGGCGGAGCCAGCATGCTTTCCATGACCTCTGCCGATGCCCCCTGGAGGATTGTCATCCCTCTAGACCAAAATACCCAATATCGGTTCACCGATCTAAAGAACGACCCTCTTGAGCTCGCGCCGTTTGAGAAGTGGTCCATGAGCGACTTGGCCAAGGGCGTCAAGTCCAAGTATGGCGAGGAGGCTGCCCAATGGGCCATCGAGGCCGAGGCGGTCTCCAAGTGGTGGGGTCCAGAGCGAAAACGACTCTGGGGCTTTAATTCTAATAAAGAAGAATAATTAGGATTAGGAAGGAGTAATGCGAATCTGATTTTATTGTTATGATGAATGTGTGGTGTCTTGGCTTCACCTCAATGACTCGGGCTGGAAAACGCATCCATCTGCTTGAACTTGCTGCAGTGATTCTTCGCTTGGAAGATGATGAATGACAGGAGCATCTATGCTTGATAGGACATGTGATTCCAATGCGATACCCCATACCAAGAGCCCTGCTCCTTGAACTCGGCCGTGAAGGTACTCAAGGTGGCTGAACCGGTGGGCTCTTGCACGCAGGCTAATTGATCGATCACCGCCAAGATCCATGTAATTTCCCTTGCTAGCCTTCCCCGCAATCTCCCAGAAGTGATCTGCACCTTTTAAAATGATGCCCAACCTTAAGGGGAGTTTGTTGCGCCACCGGGCTTTGCGCCCATGATCTCGTCTCAAATTCGACCGCGCTCGGTTGGGCTTTGGATAGAGGTCCTGGTACCCCTGGGATCGCTGGGTGCATACGACGTGCCAGCTGGCACCTCCTCTGATCGTAGTGTGGAGGGTTGTTGGTACCCGGCCCCCCATTGCCAGCAGGGAAGTGGAGTCTGATCACAGCCGCATTTACAATCCACGGAGACTCTGTGGAGCAAAATCGGCCGTAACATGTCTCGGAAGCACATGTTTCACTATGGATCAATAAGAATTTGACCAAAGGTTGGAGCAGAGATGGTTGGTTGCCTGCTGTCGAGCCGGCATGTCTTACCTCTCTAGCTCATCTTTCTTGGAAATACTTGGTGTGAGTGCAGGACGACTGGGACACATTAAAGGAAGGCCAATGCCATGTTCTAGCTTTAGACATCTTATACACTTAAAGAGCAGGCCGTGGCTGAAGATCTTTGAGAGCAAGCTTGGGTGAAAGCGAAGCGGTGACGAGGCCAGAGCGAAGAGGCACACAGTCGTTGCCCTGTTAAGCAATGTACCTCAGACGAAGCGGAGGGGCAGATATTGGTAAAGCCGTCTAATGAGCCACCGAATGAGTATGATGTGATCAAGTTTTTAGAAGCGGGTAAAGACGAGGCTGGAACCAACAACTCTTTCCTCCTAGGTAATCCACGGTTCTCTCCTGAGAGACGCCAGTGGCCATGCTGTCTTTACAGTTTAGAGGATGGTTGTGTCCTCAATGGTGCAACCTTTGAACAGGTTCATGCCGATAGTACCAGGGCGACCACCACAGATAAAAGTTCCAACCCGCACCCAAGCGTTTTGGATCTTATCAAGAGGGTAAACGATCAGACCCAGAACCTGGTTGTCCGTGTCAGTTTCGTCATTCAGCCAGTCTGTTGCGCTGAGCAACAGGACGACGCGAGCGTTGTTGCTCAGATCCTTTGGTAGCTCTTTGGTGATCCAGTCCAAATGACAATGGACTTCCTCTTCCTCGAAAGGTACGACCCAGTGGCATGTCCCACTCAACTTGGACTTGGCCTCATCGTAGGGCCTAGTTTTGGAGAAATCCAAGCACCTTACTCTCGTTCTGACCCTGACGGTGCCCCCTGATACAGAACCGAATAGATTGGGTCCCTCGACCTTCGTGTGGGCGTTAATCTCCTCAACTTCGTCTCGAAAAGTCGACGCAGCATCAGTATCTGAGTTGTACTCAACGGCAAGTGATCGGCTTGCCCAGCTCCAAGATGGACCATAGCAGTTTGCCGGGTCAGAGAGATGCCCAAACAAGCCCGCTAGACTTTGGAAAGGCAGCGCGGATTGTGATTGAAGCTCCTCCTGTGTGATGGTCCATATCAACTGGCGCAGTATATCCTTCTTCCATAGTCCAGCGGCATACTCATCCTTGAGGCTCTTGGCAAATATCTTCGCAATACCAGATAGAGCTGGGAACGTATCCTTGTAGTATGTGAGCTTCCGGCTGGTATAGTCTTGGACAAGAAACATCCACAGCTGTGCAGCTTTGAGGCGATCAGAGAGACCATTTGAGAACAGCTCTTCGGAAATAGTCGGCAAGATAGTTGGATTGGGGACTTCAGAATCACCCTTTTCGGTGATGGCTTTGAGAGTGCCCAGGAGCCAGGTTCTGGTCTTTCCGAAGCATAGCATCTGCCTGGAGAGCTGCATTTCCTGACACGTCCAGCCACGTTTCATCCAGGGCGAGTTCTTCAGCACTCTATCCAACGAGTCGGGTGGGGATGGTATCTCGTCGTCGGCACTGTTGCTCAGCTCCATTCCGGAATACCGGAGAGTATACGTTCCTGTGATTCGAGGTCTGAGTTTTGAGGTAAAGGGAACTTCGACTTGGCAGTCTAATCGCCGTGAAAGGAAGCTCTGCTCGCAATGCTGAGCATCCAGTGGACAAATTGTGATCGCGGAGCCGGCGTAGATCTCTGACATTGCCATTGACTCTACTGACCAGTCTTCGAATGAATCCTGTAAAATGCAGAGGGCGTCCACCCAGAGGTATGTGATACCTAGACTTTGGCAGACGGTGATAGAATCACGGATGAGTGCAGTCAGGTCAGACTCGGGGATGTCACTTCGTCTCTGCTCCAGTGTGGTTGTAAATGTTTTTGCTTGCTTTGCAGCGTGCTTTGCCGTTCCCCAGCAATAGCTCAAGGCGGCATATCCGGCCTTTGTCTTGCTTGGGTCACCGGATTGCTCAACCTCGTGGCGAAGGGCCAGACTGAGCTTTTTGTTTGATGGTGAGCCTTCAATCTTGATCAGCCTGGATGGCCAGAATGATCCCACTTTCTCCATCATCGGGTAATATTGGCCGCTTCGTGCGGCTGCATCTTGAAACATCGTGATGATCTCTGTGTCTAAAGCCTCGCGAATCGGGTTTGAATAGGCCAACCGTAGCCAGCTTTTGATTTGGGCTGTCCCTTGTTAGTTTGCGAGTGGAAAAACTGGGGAGGGTGACTTTCGTGGACCTCCTTCTAAAGCAAAGAGTACGCCCTGGGGAAATGACTCGGTCCCTGTTGGTGGCTCCCAGTAGGCGCGCAGCGCTTCTGGGATTCCCTCTCTGAAGATGTATTGGAGACGAATGTTGAGTTTCCCTGCCCAGACTGAGTCCTCAGATGTGGAATCCAAGATGCAGTCTCGAAGAAGTTGACAGAAGTCACAAGGTGACCCCCCATCAGTCTTTGAGGATTGCAATACTGGGAGATCTGGTAAGGTGTCTTCAAGGAGGTAGTCGAGCTGAATAGGATCCGGTTGCCTGCTTGCACCTTGTCGGTTGTAGTCAAGGTACTCCACCGACCCCCTCAAGATGGACTTGATGCTCCCAACTGCCGAGTCATCTATCTCAAGAACGCAACAGCGGTGGCAGAGTTGGGATGGCATGGTGGGTAGCGATTTAGACGGAGAGTATGTCTTGTAGGGCTGACAGCTGATGGCAAAGAAATGAGGGCGGGGAAACATTGGACCTGCAGGGGTGCTGAGGGGTTTATTCTGATAGGATAACACAGCCACAGCGAACTTGGGTGTTGGTCGTATCACTTTGCTGACACCTTGACTGGTTGTGCTTTCTTTTCTTGGGGGTTTGTGATGTCCGGCAGGCTCGATTGTTTGGGTTACTATTCATAGGTACTTGACGATACAACAACGGAGGTTTGCATCATCCATCTAACCATTCAAGGCCACCATTTTGCTTGAACAGGGCAAGTGAATCAAGCTACAAACCGAGCAACATCAGGGAATGGTGTCAAATACGGCATTGTCTCTGTTTACCTAAGGTATAGTGGAAAATAGAACTAACTCCAAGTCTTGTTACTCCAGCTTGCGACGCCTGATTCGAGCGGCAACTTTGCCATTGGGAGGGATGGTACCAAAGGGGAAGTAGTCCATATTCGGTCCGATCTTGGCAGCTGCTTCATGGTCAAGCAACTCAATATCATATGCACGAAGCATGATGGCAACCCCGACCTTCAACTCCTGAGTGGCAAAGAACCTACCAGGACACATCTTGGTTCCTCCACCATATGGGTACCAATATCCCTGCGTACCTTCTGTTATCACTTGGGCATTTCGGTCATCCTCTGGAGTGCGCCTCTTCGTCTTGAATGGGGCCTTGAAGGATGGGTTGCGAACCGGTCCGCTTGATGGGTCGTCTGGATACTGAAGGAATCTCTCGGCCCAGAATGAATCCACAGGATGTTCTACAGACCCATCAGGGAACTCCCTTCCAGTATTCCAGAACTTAGTATCATGGCCTCCAATCCACGATGTTGACAACATGGTCACACCTTGATTCAATTTCCATTTCCCGAACTTGAGATCCGGGATTAAAGACGTTCGGCCCACAGGTGCGGCAACTCGAACACGGAGGGTTTCGCAGTAGATAGAGTTGAGAAGTGGCCCTGAACAAAGCTTGTCCTTGTTGAACGACAGTGAAGATGTAGTGAATGCAGGGTCGATCTCAGCCATGAGGCGATCTTTGATGTTGTCGTCGAGGAGAACCCCAAGCAGCATCCACATAGAAGCAGGGATCGCGTTGGCATTGACACTGAAATTTGTTAGCATGTTACAAGTGAAAGGAGAGAAAGGCAACTTGCCCCCATAACATGCCCAGATCAAGGGCAGCAGCGCCTTGCACAGAAAACCCAGTCGTCAAGAACATCTTTTGTCTTGCCCTCATAAGTCGTGATCCAAACTGAGGTGTCCATTCTCCCTTCAAGACATTATCATCAGTGAAGTCAAATTGTTCCCGCCCATACCTATGATACCGTAGCACTCCCCCGAGTGCCTTATCTCTCATGCGAAAACTCTTGGGGATGAGCCACTTGGGGAGCCTCTTGAATAGGTTTGGAAGATGGTGATCAAACACCCAGAAATTCTCTGGGAAATCTGGTGAGAGCTCCAAGAATTTTTCACCGCAGAAGGCTTCAAGTGCAGCACAGAAGAGGTAGTCCCTGAACAGGACGTACAGGTCGCTCACTTCCGTCCATTCGTCCTTCTTAAACTTTGAATCGTTTGAAATACTTCTTGACAATGACTCCACAAACTTTTCTTCAAGGGCATGTAACGAGCTTCCAGCTAGAAGCGTGTGCAAGTCGCGATGGTGTACAAAGTGCAGTCGCTGTGAAGGATCGACGTGCTCCCAGCCAGGCGCAGGCTTTGCATCTGTCCCAGACTCGTCGTCTGCATAAATCTTGACATCTGCAGGTGGACAACCAAATGCGTTTCGAATGGTCATAACACCAAGGGACTTGGTCGTCAAATGGCGGGACGCCTTGAAAAGATCAAGGATTGGCTGGCCATGAGGGATATAGTACATAGGCTCGGCCCCAATCAGGAGTCGAAGCGGAACATTGCCAAACTTTGATCTAGGGATTGTTAGGAAAAGTGTCAAAAGGGGTGAGGTAGAGTGTTACATGGCGGAAAAGAGAAATTTTTCCGTATCAAAGGCAAACCCAAATGTGTTGCCTACGACGGGGACCCAGTATGGAACCCTTGGTGGCTCCCGAGACGCCAAGTCATGGCGGTACCCCCTGTTGCCGTACGAAGTATAGGCGTATGTAAGGAGACATGGCAACACGAGAAATACCAGGACTTTTCCGTACGAGCTCGTCTCAGCAACAAAGCTCGCCGTAGCAGTGATGGCCGTTGCATTCATTGTATGGAGCGGTGAAGTAATCAGAGGTGAGAAAAGAACAGGGGCCTGATTATCAAGCGCTCAGCGTAAGATCAGGTTGCTAGCATCCCAATCCGTGCAAACGCTTAACCCCACCGAGGGTCTGGCTCCGCTGCTTACGGGGTAGCACGGGGACGAAAGCTGTGCTCTGTAGCGTGTCTATTGAAGAGATTCTGAGTAAAACATGGCTAACGATCTATAAATTCCTAGCCCAAGGGTCCTAAGTATCGTAATGTCACTTGCCGCTGGCTGGGGGTTGCTCTTCTGCAGTCGGCCGTCTGCTGCTATCCCTTCTTGTACTTCCAGAGCAAAGTGAGGAACCTACTGCTTGTGTGCATCTGGAAACATGATACAAAGGCAGAGCTGTAACAGCCATATTGCCCAAAAAGGAAGCCATAATGCCTGCAGTGGCGTTGTGTCTCATCTTGACCAACAGTATGCTTCTTGGCTTCCTCCCACAGCCTGCTGCTTCTGGTGGTATAGATCACGTGACCACCCTTTCAGGGGCTACCATCGCCAACTCCACCTACAGTCATTAACATCCGTCCTCACATGGAGGCGAATTTCTCAAGTCGCATACCTAAAAGCTTATAGAGATCTTTGATCCAAATTGCTTCATGGCCATATCCCCTTATCTCATCGGCCTCAATCAAGGCTGGTCGGCGCCAGTCTTCCTCATTGGCTAGGTACTCAACGCCACCGGCAGCCTTGCTCTGAAACCTGCAGAAAAGGCCCAAGGTCTAGATTCGCACTCTCTTGGCAGCTGAAAACTCCAGTACGTGGCAGGATGGCTCGCGTTTCCGTAACTCTCCTTTCTCCCATCAGCTCGCTTTAGCTTCGAAGAAATTCCCTCAGATAACTTCTGGGCTTGAGTCGGAAGTAAACGAACTCTCATGGCGCCGTCAGACGACAACTCGACAATAAGCTCACCATGGACCGTCCTATTTCCCCATCAGAATGACACTAGCGCCCTTCGCGGTATCGTCGTCCCTAACTGGGTCAACTCCCCCAATGTCCGAGGAACAATGGACATCCTCCAGAGCTGTCTCCTCACTCTTGTGGCATGCATTTACACTGCTTTGCACCTCAACGTACCAGAGAAGACGGCTTGGTATCAAATCCTATGGTCTAAAACGAAATGGGTTGCCTTGACCCTCTTCGCCCCCGAGATTGTGCTGTACATGGCTGCCGACCAGCTGCAGCGGGCTTGGGCGCTTCGGCACGAGCTGCGCGAGCTCCAGAGTTAAAGCGATACAGTGGACAAATCCGTAGGCGCCACTTTCTTTCTCTAATATGTTATAGTGGCTTTCTTTCTGACTATTACCTCAGTTCAATTTCGACTTGAAATATGCCTTCTTCGTCGTGATGCAAGGCGTTCACATTGACGTGGAAGAGATCCTCTCATGGCCGGATCTGAATCCCAGTGCCTATACTCGCTTTGCGAGTATGCCATCCCCTCGGATAGCAAGCATTAGTCCTAGTGGCCTCATTCGGCTGGCCAAGAAAGGGCATTGGCTGTACATTTCAAGGAAACGAATTGATGACAAAAGCAAAGCAGACTATATCCAGAAAGCTCTTGTTCTGACACAAATTCTTTGGATGGTTACTCAGTGCGTCACGCGCTACGTGAATGACCTCCCCTTGACCTTGCTGGAGATACATACTGTGGTGCACGTTATTTGCGCCGTGTTTCTTTACGCCTGTTGGTTCCAGGTATGTTGACCTCTGACCCAATTCTTTGCTTTGGTTACTGACTGAACTCCCCAGAAACCACTCAACGTACAAGAGCCAGAGGTGGTGAACCCAAGCCAGTTTCTTGGAGAGGCCGCAGCGATGGTTCAACAACAGTTCTACTCTTCTTGGTCAAACGAACTGGCCATCTTCCCACCTTGGTCTGTGGAACGGCCGATACCTCCGCTCAGGCTGGCTAGTGACCGAGCATCTATGTTATGGTTTAGCCCAGAACGGCCATCAGTTATGCGACAAGGCGACATCCTGTTGTCTGGCCTGGCCCTTCATACAAGTACTAGAGAGCTGGAAGTCACTGCACAGTTTCTCGAAAGATGGAATGCCATTTTTGGTGCATTTCCCTACACAGACTGTGAGCTGCTTGCTCGTGGGACTGGCCCCAAGTTTGACACGCCACATATGGAAGAAGAGATCGAACTTATGGGCCAGGGAAAGACGGATTGCCAGGTTCTTTATCTCAGTCGTCTTGACGAGTTTGAGAAGCCGGAGGACATGCGCGAGCTGCCATTCAGCCACCGCGAGCGGAACCTGGTCGTGAACTTTCACGTCGCCATTCTTGGCCTGGCACTACTTCTTCCTGCCTGCTACGGCGGTGTCCATCTAGCAGCATGGAAATGGACCTTCCCGAGTCATTTCGAGGGTGTTTTCTGGAAGATTTGCTGCCTCTTCATCGTTTGCGCATCCCCAGTCATGTTCGTCATAGACATGGTCTTCATGGGACTGGTCGAGCTTATCAACTATAAGACCGTCACCAACCGCCCAAGAGACAGGGAAGATGCAGAGGATGGAAACCTAAAGAAGAAGGACAGCGAGTCCGACTATTGGGACATTGGATTCTATGCTTTGATTTGTTTCAATGTTCCTGTCTTGGCGATGTATATCGTTGCGAGGGTCTACATCGTCCTTGAGTCGTTTTTGAGCTTGAGATGTGTTCCTCAGGGGGTATTTTTCTCTCCAGCCTGGCTTCAGATGTTTCCTCATCTATAGAGTATCGCGCTTACAGCGCTGCTTCACGATAGGTGAGACGGAGATGTGGGTTTATAGCTCCCATAGAACTAAAGTAGTATAGTTCTTGTCATTTATTGAGCGTTTGTGTGGTTGGAAGCAGCGGAGGGTATTGGATGGACCACTTCGTACATAGCAGCTTGCATTTCTACCTACCTATTCATCAGAATACACTGCAATGACTCAGACACGTCTTTCTCCAAGCCTAAGGGCGTTTGAGAACATGCCGTAATTGATTTTAGAGAGTTTGAGAATCAAGGTGCACACAAAGATCAAGTGTTAAATCTCCCCATAAACGCTTTTATATAAGTATGTACAGCTTGCTCCCCAAACACACATAACACCCTTGGTGCTTCTAGATATCGTCAACAATCGGGCTGACACCCTGAGCAGTTCCAAGACGATCCTCAAGGTAGAATCTGAGTCTCTCGACAGCCGCTCGGTCAGACATCCACTTGCCGAAAGCAGTAGGGTCAGTGCCGGGCATCTCGAGGATGGAAGGATAGTTCTTAGGGGGCGCAATATCCTGGCGAACGGTCCAGCTGTTACGGGGCTCCAGGAACTCCTTGCTTAGCATGAAGCTGTGTAGAAGCTTAGCTCCCTCAGGGTGAGGGGCATCCTTCAGAATGGCACCGGCTTGAGGCCAAGAGACGAAGCGACCCTTGACGGGGAAGGAGATGTTGTAAGGAGCAACAGGGCTGAGGCCGCCGGATGCGGTGAAGGTGGCAGCCCACTCGGTATCGTTGCGGGTGAGGAGGGTTCTCGGAGACCTGGTGCCACGAACCCAGCGAGGGTTCAAGGCAAGAAGCTTATCAAGCCATTCAGTGCCGAGCTCCTTAATGCTAAGTTTGATGTGTAAGCGGCCGTGCCTAATCTTTACTGGACAACTGAATACTCACATGAGATCAAAGGCAAAGAGGACGGCATCGTCGTCATTGGGATAGGTGAGGACGAGCTTATCCTTGAACTCGGGGCGCACCCAATCCTCCCACTCAACAGGTCCCTCGACTCCCGGGAGCTTGTCAGATCTCCATTGGCCAATCCAAGCGATGATGGCCATTCCGTAGTGGTAAGCGTTTCCCTTGTTCTTGAACTTGGGGTCAATCTTGTCCCAGCCGAGAGGGGCGTAATCCAGCAGGGCGCCCTGGGAGGCCCATCGAGGGTAGTCGTGCAGGGTTTGGAGGATGACGCTGTCCACATAAACATTCTTCTCGGCGATCTGCTTGTCCAATTTGCCATCGTGGTACTTGGACAGGTCAACAGTGACATTGAGGGTCATGCCAGGGAATCGCTGTTCGAAGGCCGTTTTCAGGTCGTCTCGAGAGTTGGCCTCATCGCCACCGTGCCAGAGGGTAACAACACCGCCCTCAGCAAGGGCTGCCTTGTAAATCTCATCGATGCTGCGCTTTTCGACCTTTGTTGCGGCCGCATTGACGAGGGCTTGGCTACCCAGCAGGGCAATGGTAAGAAGAGAGCGAATCATGATGAATGACTAAATGAACTCCTGATTGAGAACAAAATGATGAGTGTTCAATGGTACCAAATGGCGACGACATTGCTCTTTTATTCTGACTTACACCGCTGACCTTTGCCAAGCATCTAAAGGGATATCAGGCAAAGCTGTTTGCCTTGGCAATGGTGATCAATAAGCTGCCGCGTAAGATCTACGACAGCCGAGCGGGATGACCCGCTTGGTTTAAACGCGTCAATGCAACCATCGTAGGCTGTGTTTCTGGGCAGGACGAATGCCGGTTCGGCGTTGGCCGAAGGTGTGGATCTCCAGGCCTGGCATGTATCACAATAATTAGACAACGGCTTAAGATACTGTGTTTGGCCTAGAATAACAGTGCTTCTTCCTTGAATTGGCTCGAGTGCACAGGTACAATGCGCCTTGCTTACAAAATTCTTTCATAAACATGACATTTGCCTTGTTTCAAGCGCTGACTTCTAAGCATTGGTGGCAAACTGGCAATCCTTGGTGGGCTCGAACCACGGAGGGAATTTGTCCTTGATCTTATGCTTGATGTGAAACAACCAATAAGCTAGGTAACTAGAGGAAACAGGTGAGGAGCCGCGCGGGTATTGCAAGCTTGAGGCTTTTTTGAACTAAGCAGTCATCTTGACTCTAATGACGCCTTAGCCGGGCTTTCTTTGCTCTCCGTAGGGTAACAATCGGTGGGGATACCTCTCTACCTTGCTTGTAGGAAAACAGTTTAGTGGTGGTAAATTTCTTTATGGCTCTGTGCTCAATTGCAACCTCCGTGATAAACACTAAATCATGCCATCCAATGCTATCAACCGCTTGAAGACCACCTATGAAGACAGAGCCATCTGGCTAAACAAATAGCCGACTTGAGAGTTGGTCTATTCCCCAGTCTTCATCCCATTTCCATGACTCCTTTGACCTACAACCGTGCGCTCTTCATGGTGTAGAGATGAAGAATAAAACCCCTGAGTGTCCCTTAAACTTTAATTCGCACCCAATACGAAAGCCGACGGGAGCTGCAGGGTCCTTCACTCTATACGCGCATAGAACCTGAATCTTCCGTGGGGGTCATACTTCTGTTTTAAACCTCTCAGCTTCCCCAAACGGACACCATCGCTTCCATACACCTGTTGGGCAGTCTCGGTGCCCCTTGCATATCCGATGTAAACACTCATGTCGCTCTCGCTGGTCCCCTTGTGCAACAAGCCCCTGACTTTTGTGCCAATTTTCGTGGCAATTTTGTCATTCTTGGGTGACGAATAGAGAAGAGAAAAAAGACTATTGATGATTTGTTAGAACAGGGTCATACTGCGTCTCCTTTTGCGACCACCGACTTACGCAATAATGTTTCTCTCTCGATCTGCCACCGCAGTAGTCGATGCGTCAATTGCCCGGACACCTTGAAGAGGATACCCCTCGAAGATGACATAGCTGCGCTTGAAATCGGGGTTCTTGATTATGAATTTGCTGAATTCATCATATACAGCGCGCTGAGTCGGGACATGATACTTCTGGAGGTTTAGGGAGTAGCCCTGTGTGCGGATGCCTTTCTGACATGCGACGGAACTATCGTCAAACGCAAAGACTGCAGAGATCTCACCGTAGGAGATCTCCTGGGTGCTGTTGAAAACTGGCTTGAGGTCTAGATAAGGTTTGGCGTGTGGTGCCATCTCTTTCTCTGAGCCATCGTACACCATGAGAAAGAGTAGTACTGGCTATTGGAGCTCTGTCAGCGATGATGATGATCAAGTATTGTTCGTGGGGCTTTCTTGCGAGTGCGAGTCGGCCGGTGAAAAAAGACACAGTCTCACATACCGTATTGGGGTCGACATCAGGAACGACGGTGTACAGGGAGGCGACAAGCATGCCTGCTGGCTGTCGATTAACGCCATACCCGTTTGCGATGGCTTTGTTCGCAATTTCATAGAAAGCTCCGATCTGATCAGGGAGGTAGATGAAGGTCTTGACAAGCCAGTTGTCTTCAGCAGGAGCGTCGTACACCTTGTAAGTGACTTCTGTAACAATCCCAAAGTTGTGGCCGGCTCCTCGGAGAGCCCAGAAGAGATCAGAATTCTTCTTTTTGGAGACAGTGACAACTTTCCCGTTAGCTAGCACAACGCGAGCAGCGACAATCTGGTCAGCAAGCAGGCCGTAGTGTCCTTGTAGGGTGCCATGGCCGCCTCCAAGTGCAACACCCATGAGGCCTGTGCACTCGCAGACACCGGTCACTTGATGTGGAGATCAAAAGTCAGTACACATAATGAATTGATAGGGCCTGGATCAGAAGTAGTGTACTCACCTGAACGTTTGCCTTGGGCAGAAAGAAACCTTTCAACCTGCCCGCTCTTAACTCCTCCGCCGAGACTGACTGTCTTGCCATCTTTTGATAACTTCATGGTGTTGAGCTTCTGAGTAGATATTCCAATACCATGTTGCATTCTTTGCAGTTGTGACGTCCAACCATGGCCTCCAGAGACAGCCAGGAAAGGGATGTCCTTCTTGTTGGCATATCGAACCTGTCAAAATCTACAAGTTAACAAGAGGCTCCGTAATAAATCGACTCAACACTTCGTGCCCAATTTTGGCACAATGGTTCCCCTCAAAGGCAGAGGGCGGGTAGCGGGAGAGAACCAAGAGCTGCTGTAGCATACAATTGCCTGAATATCCTCTTCGCTAGCCACTTTAACGTATGCCGCATACGATGGAGCAGCAAACTTGGACCACCTCAGACTTGCATCGAGAAAGTCTGCTTGGTTCGGGATGTAAATCTCAGCATCAGCAGACAGCATGGGGCCCAACTGAGCCGCTATCTTGTTGGCCGAAAAGCAAGTCGACGCTGTGGATGCTGCAGATGCGAAAGAAAGAAATGTCGCCGCTAAAGCGTACCGGATGAGAGAATACGGTCTCATCTTGACTTAACGTTCTGGCTGAGACAAATGATGAAGCCTAGTGGCTTTGAACTAGGCAACCCCGACTTTTAAAACCTGTACTGCCACTTACATACCGCCTCAAAATATCTGCTTTGTTGTTGTAACTGTACGCCAAGCAGCTGAAACTGCCAAATGCAGCCCTCCCTGGTAGGGCTGTTTAGCGAAGCGATGCACTATTGGAAGATGGCATGGGAATTCATGGCGGGACCAATCTGACAGGTCTGACAGGTTTGACAGGTGGATATTCAGCTACGAACTAGAAGCAATTGATACTCAATCAGGCAGCGCCAAGACTAGGAAGAATAAGTAGATAGCAAATAACAATCCGAGAATGGAGGCAATCTTCAAAATGTTGCCCAACCGAGAGCTGAGGTCGAGAATAACGCTAGTGGCTGACAGTGCAGCAGACTGCGTCCGGAGAAGCCGAATGGGCTCAGTGATGATAATGAGCACAAGAGTAAGGTCGAGTCATTATCTTGATCCATTAGAACTACGAAGCTCGTTGGGTGGGATTCGACCTTTCAAGAGAAATGGACGAAATGGCGAGAAATCTTGGTGCGCGACAAGGAGTTCCCCTAAGATTGGGCTCCAATGCACACCCACATGCATGGCGCAAAAGCCACAAGCTGGAATTTTACACCGATTCTGAGGCTCACGGGTGATACCTGGCAACAAGGTAAGCCCATGGTTGATCAATATACTCCCTCTTCCCCGCTCTATGACAGAAGCTGCTGGGAGCCACTTACTCAGGAACGTGTCCGCCAGTATCAAGATCTGTCGCGATTAGATCCAAGCCAGAGTATGCCCATATACATTTATGCATATAACCAGAACTCTCCAAGTAATGCCTTCACTGTGGTAGTGCTTCATGTTGAGGCGCCGAGGGGAATACTAAGCAGCTGTGGCTGGCGAGATCACTTCTCACATCTTGAAGCACAACGCTATATCATCAATTCTCATAAGTGTACGTATTTGAGTACTGAATTCACTTTCAAACAGAGAAAATCGCCAGATCGATGATGTGCAAGTGCAAACATGGTTGTATTGCGAACCAGACTAGTACCCCACCCGACAACCAACCACCAAACCCAGACTACCAAACAAGAAGGATAAGTAAGGAGTGTGGTTACATAAAATGACCAAGAAATATTTTTTGAAGGAAAACCCGAATGATTGGTCCAGCTTGTTGGGTCGACGGAAGACAACGAAGTGGAATTTTGGGTCATCGACTGCCTCTTTTCAGGGTCGGAAATACCAGTTAAGGTGTGCTCGCTTAGTCGGCAATACCGATCCAGGCAAAGCAGTGCTTGAAAGCGCGGGCCTCAAGGGCAAAGAGACCACCGTGGTCGAGCATGGCAGCGGGGTGCCACTGATCAGGGGTCAGACGCTCAAGGAGGTCGGGGTAGCTGTTGAGGCCGAGGGGCTCAGTCACACCCCATGGGTTGCGGAGGACGATGTACTGCTTGTCACCCTTGAAGGTGTAGCCGAGGACAGAGTAGGCGTGGTTGGCCACAATGTTGCTGCCCTGGTACATGTCGCCGGTGGCGTAGGTCCAGGCGGTCATGGGGTTGATGGTCTTGAAGTTGACGCAGTTTTGACGGACAAGGCCAAGGAGGCTGCAGGCAGAGTGCTTCTCAGTCTGGAAGTAGTGGGGGTCCTGGCCGTTGATCTGGGCCATGGCCTTGACGGGGTCACCACAGTGAGTCTTGGTGATATCGGGGTGCTCAGTGTTGCTGCCAGTGATCCACTTGGCAAAGGCCTTCTCGTACAGGGAAGGCCAGATATCGGCACCGTCGCTGGAGCGGCAGTAGATGGGCTCGTTGTTCGAGTTGTTGATGGGGATTTCGTAGTTGACCTCAACAGTCTCGGTCTTGGAGTTGTTGTGTCCGCCCTTGTCGTGGAACTTGATGGCGAGCTTCCTCTTCTGGTTCTGGTCGTGGTGGACCCTGGTAGCCCGGTTGATGCAAGAGGGATCAGCCCAGAAGACGGAGAAGAGAGCGGCAATCAGCCAGCTGTTGCTGGAGCAGCCCTGAGTGGGGTCGTCAAAGCCGTGCATGGCGATTCTCTCCTCGCCCAGGCGGAACATGGCGATATCACCAATGAGTCGCTTGTTGACGTCCTGGAACAGGCGGTCATACATGTCGCGCCAGGTACCGTTGGGAGGGCTCCAGTGGCCGCCCTGCTTTCGGTACTCACTGACGAGCTCGTTGATGGTCATGGTCAAGTCGCGGTTGGACACGGTCCTGCCAATAGAGTGGGCGTTGAGGACGAGATGCATCTTGCCGTTCTGCATGCGGGCCATCTTGACCCTCATCTTGGCAAAGTCCTTGAGGCCGAGGTGCTCGAGGTCGTCGAGTCTCTCGATCTCGGAGAGATCAGGGGTCATGAGATCACGCTCCTTGAGGATCTTCATGTCCTTCTCGTTGAGTCGCTCCGCCTTGCGGTCCTTCTCATCGAGCTTGAGTCCGGCAAAGAGCACAGAGTTGTGCTTCATGTCGAAGAGCTCATCGTAGTCCGTCTGCAAGACATTGGACAGGATGGTGGCCGAAGTGGGCGAGTATTTGTCGATCTTGCGGCCAATGAGAGCCTCGCAGAGAGCATAAGGGTTGACGGCTCCGACGTTGATGTCCTTGGGAGGAGAGTCGGGGTGAATCTTGTTGCCACGTCCTGAGGACATGGGAGTCACCTTGGGAACCTCTTCATAGTCGGCCTGAAGGCCATCCGAGGGCTTCTCGAGCTTCTGGCCGAGAAGGGCCTCGACCAAAGTGTAGGGGTCGATGTTGAAGGTCCTGTTGTCCTGAGAACCAGAGGAAGAGGAAGAGAAACGAAGGTCACCCATGTTGGCGGTAGTGAATGCTGGGAAAAGGATTTTTAGAGTAATTGTTGCAATGAATAGACAAGTAGCTGTGTCTGAGCTGTTTGTGTCCTGGAAGTTCTGAGTCAACAGGAGGAGATAGATATAGATATTCTCCTTGACCTGCTCTAAACAGCAGACATGAGATCCGCGTCATGGCGAGACGCCGCATTGTCAGCGATGAATCACATCTGCACCTAGTACAACTCTCTCCGCAGTCGTAGTTGCCCTTGGACGGGTTTCATCAAGTCTCATGGCCTGATGCTGCCTCGATCTTCACGTGTACACTGCTCTCAGTAACTAGATGCATGGCTTGGGCGGTTCGCTCGGCCTTACTCACGGCTTAACGCGAGTGTGCATGCATGTTGGGCCCTGGTACGTTGAGATGCTCGGTTCCTCCGCCATGTCAGCCCCTTGCAAAGTCACTTGTCGAGAGAGTTTGCGGGGGACGTGGATGGCGTCCCCGCACGAGAATGGCAATCCAGCATTGGTTTCCGTTGTCCCGAATGGTAGGGTCTCGTCAGACATGGTCAATTGATTTCAAATATCAGTTGTATGAGGCATGTAGTTTGAGGGGATACGATGATTAACGCTCTCGCTATTAAGTCAGGGCCGTGTAAGGGCGCGTGCGGATGTAACCGGACGGGAGGTGCCATTGGAGCACAACCCACGATGACTTTTTTTGAAACGTTGTCTGAGGGGTATTAGACGCCACACCATCACTGCCGGTCTAGACGCTTTGTTGACTACGTAATCTTCAATCAGAGGCTTGACGAGAGCTTTTAGCGAGCGAGATATTGAGCTCACCGATGCCGTGTGTTCATCTGTCCATCTCAGGGATACCCTGTCTTCGGATACTCGCCTTGGTCTGCTATTCGACGTCACTCCTGAAAATTTGCACATTATAGTTTTGGTGACCCTTCTCTTCGTGACGGTTAACCACGGCCTGAGGGCGGCTGTAGATCATTTCCCCAAGATGAGAATTTACGAGTTGAGTCCAAACTCAATGGCAATCATCCTACGGGTCCATAAGAGCTGGTACAGAGCTGGTCTTCTCTGAAATGGGGCAAAAAGTCCGGTAGTCTGTACTGTGAGCTCAATGTCCTCCAACATGGTTCGAGCAAGATGGACAACCAGGTACCTGAGCTTCTAGACTTCTCAGTCCGACGAACTAAAATGCTATGCGAATCAACTAAGCGTAGCTAAGTTTCGGGGCTTTGCTCGCATATTTGCTTCTGATATCACGGGAAAGTCCGAGGATCGGAGTTATGGTACAGAATGAAGTCAAGCTGTGTGAAGACGAGTGTTGTTTCTATCCAAGTGATACCAGAATCGTACCACTATGATTGTGTTTGCTAGCACCCCAGCCTTTCATGTCATTCTTTCTCATAACTCAGGCGCATCGGCCCCTCGCTTAACACATGTTACCATATGCTTTTCGTTCTCAGCAACTTCGCGTGGGAGCGTCGAGGTGGAGTGCCGACCGTTTTCAGGGGAGGTAGTGCGGCTTGAAGTCAATTGCAATTTCAATGAATCCCATGTGGAACTCTATGTCAACGACCAACAGCAGTTCGGGAGATCGCCCGATGATAAGATCCTACAGCGATGCTCCCGGCCGAGATCCGGCCAACCTATGTGCGAGGGCAAAGAGAAGGGGAGAGCTTTATTGCAACTTGCAAGACCAGATGGCCTGACTTCTCATAATTTCTTTCATCTGCATTCAATGAATAAACCTCGTAAAGAAATTGGTCTATAGACAAATCGCAACAGCGCCATGTTTCAGGGAGGGGGGGCCTCATAGTATCTTATGCCGCACGAGCAGACACTCGCACGTGGCCGGCCAATCGCATCGAGGGTGGCCCTGCCAAGACGTCTCCAAGATTCTGGTCGCGTGCGTTACTACTGAGTCTGGAGCTCCCTTTGTGTACGTGAGAATGGAAGGGGCTGGACAAAAAATGGTCCCCTAGGTCCTGTCCTGCCGCGTCAGGTCATGGCACCATAGACTCTGGCTTTGATCACATCTAACAAAAGGTCTTGTCCAATTATATAGGAGGATACTCAATGATCCACTGCTCAGAAATATAGTGGACAGCCTAACGAGAGGCGAGCTGCCGCGCAGTTGCATCTCAACCCTGGTCTACGCGTTGACGGAGCCGTACAAAGGTGGTGTGTGTGGTTCAAGAACGAAACATGCCACCCTACACCACCTTTTCAGTATTTAGCGAATTGTATGTAACTCGGTTGATCTGTCAATAGTATTCAATGATCTACGCCCAACACTAGGGTGGTCAAGTTGTGCGGAAACCTATGCTTGAGGATCTACCATGACCACCTCCCCTGGTGATTCCGGGTAAGACTTTAGCGCCCGATGGTCGCGACCACTTTATCACCCGAAGCATGAAGGGGCTTCGATACAAGACCTGCTATGTTATTGGCACGAGATCAAAAAAGCCAGTGTCACTCACTGCTGATGGGTCCGGCGCGTACAACGGTCCTGGGATTAGCATCTATGCCGCGACTAGGCCCAGTTGAATTGATATAATCGTTATATCCATGACTCCTGACGCTATTCAAAGTGGAAGATCCTTTTATCTGTTGCATTCCCTTCTCGGACATTCCGTTGAAGGTTACACAAGGATCTAAATCTTAGTCATGCTAACTGGGTTATAACTTCCCATTAAGACCACAATGTCTCTTAAGCGGTTTAAAGTTCGTAATGCATCTAGAAGATGCAATGAGAGTGGTTAGTCACAATGGGATATTCGTATATCCGAGCCTTGATTTTCTTAGTAAGACGAGTCTCTCAAACTGTGAACAACACCGTACTCTTTTAATCCTCAATCTGCGTTATTTTGTTATAAACTTGTTTCAGTCATATGTATTAGAGTACGGCGTCCTTAGAAACTGAAGTTATCGCGCGAGCCAAGATGGGAGACAAAGCAGCCAACGAGTCGCAGGTTTCGATCGTCATCAAGATCCCGCCCTCCTCGCACGCCGACGATGAGTCCTTTGCCGCGACAGTAGCCAGTATTGTCAATGCAGCCTATACAGAGGCCGAAAGGGATATCTTCTTACCTAATTACCAACGCACTTCTCCTACCGAAATCACCCAATTCATCCGCAACAGGCAGCTTGCAGTTGCGTACCTCGAGGATTCCGGCCACCCTATTGGCTGCGTGTGCATCAAGTTGCTCGGGCCCGGCCGAGGCGAGTTCGGCATGCTGGCACTGGATGCCAAGCATCAAGGCACTGGGCTAGGGCGGCAGCTAGCCATGTTTGCGGAAGCAGAATGCCGCAGGAACGGATGCACGATCATGCAATTGGAAGTACTGGTGCCGAAAACCTTTCATCATGCTGGAAAGGAGAGGATGCAGGCGTGGTACCAACGACTAGGTTACAAGGTTGTCAAGCTTGGCAGTTTTGACGAGGACTACCCTGAACTGGCCAAGATTCTTTCAGGGCCCACTGATTACAAGATATTTGAGAAGAAGTTGGTTGAGACAGTTGCATAAATAGAGACAATGGAACTTTAGCTCAAACACACTCGGTAATAACATTGTCTGTTCGACCTCACATTGTGAATTTGTCATCTTAGAACTGACGACTGTGTCTCAACCATGTCAACACTTTGCATGATGTGACATCTCAAGGTTCGTCCGAGAACCTCCCCCTACCCCCACAGCTCTCAAAGAGCCTTTTAGGCAAGTGACATCTCAAGGAGGGCGTCGCACGGCCCCCATGGGGGTGATGCTTGATCTTGGCATCGCCACCGAAGCTTTCGGGGCTCGACACGGTTCCGCGACAGATGACTGACATCTGGGGAGATGGCCAAGAAGTTACCCAAGTCCTATGGTCATTAGAGATTGGTCATGAAACAAAGCCCAAGGTCGATAGCTCGAGCATGACAGGCATCTTCTACTAACCATCCCTTGATTACAGAATATCCAGTTGATGGTGTTGGGTCAAAGCCCCCGCCCCAGGCCCATTCGAACCCTTTGACCAACTTGCGTCACGTCCGAGATCGTTCCTGAGTGGCTTGGGTACGGGGCAATTGCCACATGGCTTCCCGTTTGCTTGCCTGTCTTGGTGGAGATGGCGGAGATGAAGCAAACCGCCGAGCCCGGCTTGTTCAGCAGGGCAGTCGTGGAACCATGTTGAAGGAAATCTTAAACGTTCCTGCTAAGGAGTACTTGAGTTTTCGTGATCACATCAGGCAATCTTATGTACTATTTAACGACCATGGACAGGGATTCAGTCGCAGAAGCTGTCCGACTCCCCAAGCGATGCCTTGAAACTCAGGCAAAGGTTCCCGCACGGTCCCTCCACCTCCACCAATGCCCCGCACAATTGGCTTCGGTAGAGGCAACAAGAGTCATGACAAGCAACCAGCAATTTCAACGGCCCCTTGGCCTTATCTCCTGGTTTCGTCCGGTACCGAGAGTTGGAACCGATTCCTGCAACAGCTCGTCCGGGGAACAGTTGGTCTGAGAACCGTCCGTCAATCGGAAAATCTGTGCCACAGTCTCGGTTGGAACTCCGTCTCAACCTTTCTACAACAAGTTAGTTAAGGGGGCAAGTCGGGCTATTTAGAGTTTGGACCATGCATTGCGGCTTGTTTAGCTCATTGCCAATCGTATCAGCTGGCGACGCCATGTGGCGCGCCTTAACGAATCGAGGACATGGCATGAATCGCTTCTGTTGATGAAGCATGATTCTCCTGTATGGCAGTTGCACGGAAGGAAGCTTCGAAGGCATCTAGATCCCGCGAGACCACCCTCCCAAGACGACATTCGAAGCACTCGCTTGCTGATAAGGAATGAGGCGGCGTCTCTTGGCAGCGGAATCGTCGTCCCGCGAACGGACGTGGAGACAGGGGCTCAAGCGATTCAGGTTAGCGCCGGCACGTGCTGTGATGTGCTGGGGAATCCCCTGCCCGTGAAAAGGCTGCGACGCCCTTGGGAGATTTGGCCACTCGTCGTCAATTGACAGCCAGCCCAACCAACTAACCCACGAGCGAGGTGAGAACAGATCGAGAGTTGAGCATCGCTCAACCTCAGGGTATGCCTTCAACCATGGCCTACCAACGAGAGATTGAGATGCAAGCGATACCGCCACCGCCTCAGAAGCCAGTCATCCTCGTCGAAAACAGCTTCGCCGTCACCATTAGCGAGCCGGAGAAGCCGGTCCCGGAGCCAACGGGGGCCTTCAATCGTTTGCTGCACAGCTTTGGTCCAGCTTCTAACCGCTCTGATGATGGCATGAGCCTGAGCAGCCACGGCACAGCCCATGGTCCTCATGGGCGGTTCTTCAGTCTTCGAAGGGCCAACTACAAGTCTGCCAACACGCAATTGGCCCGGGAACTCAAGAATCGTCATCTGCAGATGATTGCCTTTGGTGGTTCAATTGGTATGTGGACCCTTCAACTCAACTGCCTCATCCGGTGTTGGCGTCGCCCTCGATGACATCTAGTCTTCACGTATTGACGACAACTAACTCCATTATAGGAACTGGTCTATTCGTTGCGTCGGGAGTAGCCCTCTATCGTGGTGGTCCAGCCTCTCTCTTGCTTGCCTTTGTCATCATGGGCGTCATGCAGTTCTTCACGATGCAGGCTCTGGGTGAGCTTTCCGTGGCCTTTCCGGTTGGCGGATCCTTCGCCAATTACTCGACTCGTTTCTTGGATCCATCTTGGGGTTTTGCGATGGGGTGGAAGTAAGTGTCCCGTCGGCCTTCAACCCTCATTGGGGGCCACCTGAAGTAAACAATAACCACTGACACCACGTGAAGCTATACCCTTCAGTACCTCATCGTGTTACCGCTTGAAATCATTGCGGGTGCCTTCACTACTATGTACTGGAATCCGGAGCCCAGCAAGTCGATATTTGTTGCCATGTTCCTCGTCTGCATCGCTGGCATCAATCTGCTTGGTGTGCGAGGATATGGCGAGGCAGAATTCATCTTTTCCACGGTAAAGGTGATAGCCATTCTAGGATTTATGTAAGAGAGCCCAACTCCCCCTTTACGGAAAGCCAGAAAGGAGACCAGTTCTAACGTGATCCAGCCTTCTCGGTATCATCATCAACGTCATGGGTCATCCAGACAGCGGCTACATCGGGTTCCAATACTGGTCAAACCCTGGAGCTTTCCACCATGGCTTCAAAGGCTTCGCCAGCGTTCTGGTCACGGCAACCTTTTCCTTTGCTGGCACGGAAATGGTTGGACTCGCCGCAGCCGAAACAGCAAACCCCCGAAAATCATTGCCGGCAGCCGTCAAGCAAGTGTTTTGGCGAATCAGCATCTTCTACATCACCTCGATCCTACTTATCGGCTTGTTGGTGCCGTATAACCAACCCCGGCTACTGGGGGCCAAGTTTGGCTCCGACGCCGTGGCTAGTCCTTTTGTCATTGCTATCGAGAGCGGTGGTCAGACGGTGCTTCCGAGTGTTATGAACGGCGTCATTCTTGTAGCTCTCATCAGCGTTGGCAATACCGCTGTGTATGCCTCGTCCCGCACCCTGACTGCATTGGCAGAGCAGTCTTTGGCACCGAAGATCTTCACCTACATCGATCGTCGTGGCCGCCCGCTGGCTGCCATCATCTTTGCTTGTGTCGTTGGCCTGCTTGCATTTCTCGCCGATACCGACATCCATACCGAAATCTTCAACTGGCTTCTTGCCATCAGTGGGCTCAGCACCCTCTTCACCTGGGCTAGCATCTGCCTCTGCCACATCCGCTTCCGGAAAGCTTGGGAACTATCTGGATATAACCTCTCGCAGTTGGCATTCCGCTCTCAAGTCGGCGTATGGGGATCTTGGGTCGCGCTTGCGTCCTATGGAATGGTGCTGGTTTTGCAATTCTGGGTTGCGGCATCCCCGATTCCGCTTGAAGATGGAGAACCCTCCACGCAAGAGAGGGTTAAGACTTTTTTCATGCAAGTCCTTACGGTACCCATAATCTTTGCCTTTTACCTAGGTCACAAGCTTTGGTGTCGTACAAAGCTTGTGCGTGATAAGGACATGGATGTTGATACGGGTCGGAGATATCTACAGACTTGGAATGAAGACGAGGCGGAGGCAAGAAAAGGCTGGCCCCTCTGGAAACGACTGTATAATACCATGTGTTAGACTAATTAGATGGGCCGTCGCGGCGAAGACAAAATGTTCAATAGACTTAATACCTGGCAAGATACACACAACTGGGCTTAGGCGATGGGCTTCAAATCTCAAACTTCGTGACTACTACTTAATGAATGGGCCTTATTGTCATCGAACACGGGGAGAACATCGTAGCGAGCGAGATCTGATCTAGGCGTAGTCCCATTCTACATTGTGAAAGGGGGCATGTCTCTCTCACCGCCTCAACAGTAATCTTCTATTGGCTCTTGCAATCTTGATAGCCGTGGAGCTGTCCAAGAAACAAGCCTATGCCGTCATTTGAGATATCACCTTGTTGTATTAGGTGCAAGCAGGGAGGGTCCATCTTAGTGGGAACTTGACAGCAACTCGTGACACCAGCAAGGAGTAGAATGAGTCATCGTACAAGAAGTAACGAATGGGTACACGACGGTTTGGACCACGAGCACGTTGTGAAATGTGCAAACCCTATTGGCTTGAACCCCTTGACAAGCGCCAAGAGCTGTTGGGATTCAAGCCGTGAAAATGGCCCAGGCATCGATTTAAACGAGGGTTCTAGCTTGACGTTTGGAGACACAAGGTAAACGATAAGGGTTCATCTGATTAACAGTGCCTTCCTGCTTCTCTCAACTCCATGCTAAACTATGCTAAACTTTTCTAGTAATGTTGAGAGACTCTTTTCTCCAGGTATTGATGTGTTGTATAGATGCGAAATTTGGACTAGGTGAAACTTCCACTAAGATAAATGATCCCGACGATGCCGCCATGCCCTCCACTCTTCTAGGCTTGCTTGGTACCATCTTCTCCCTTGCGCCCACGTCCATGTCGCCATTCGAAAATAGTGCGCGGCTTTTCCTTGATGACTTGTCGAAGCTTGTCGACGTTTCGGTCCATCCACACATCTGGGGAAGAACCACTGACCGGGTGCAGGGGCAAACTGTCTTTGCTCAGGAGGAAAGAGTCTGACTGGCGAGTGTCGAAAGAGGCGATGAGGTCCATATCCGCGGCGATCTGATCGCAGTACGTCTCGAGCGGCAAGTCGTTCACATCATGGCCAAAAGGGTTTTCGATCTCTTGGCCAATAAAGAGCAGACCAAGGATGATATAGGCGGCAGCGATGGAGGCCGGGATGGCGATCCACTCAAGCTTACCCGTCAGTTGGAATGGAAGAAGAATGACATAAATGAAAGTGATTTGGCTGATAGCGATTGTATAGGCGATGGGTAGTGGGGTGTTGAGGACTCTCTCACAGCCTGTCATGGCGTCGTTGAGCATGGTCAGATGATTGTACGCGAGGGTCTGTTGCATGAGAACAGGCAGCTGCTTGTTGCGGACCATTGTGTCCAGAGTGACAGCTAGGTGGTTGAGGATTTCGAGAGGCAGATTTCCCTGGTGTTGTTCGGCCTTCTTAACAGCCTTCCGGGGATTGCTGGTGGCAAAGGGAATACCCAGGTACTCGCCAGCTGAGTGGTACATTGTCTTGGACCGGCTGACGCGAGCCTCGGGTGGAGTGTCGTTGCCATTGGCGACAATGAAGGTATCGAGAGACGCGATGTAGGGCTGGATATCGGGTTGGGTGTCACAGGGTTCGAAGCGGAGCTGGTGCTTGAGAGCCATCGCAAAGGCCACGATAAGATTCATGGCCCCAATCTTCTTGAGGAGGATCTCCCGAGAGTCCTGGCCAGCAGGCTCAACGGTATGAATCCAGAAGATACGACCAAGGGTTTGCGATGCCAAGGTGAGGCTTCCCCAATAACGACGGCCTTCGGCGTAACGTTCGTATGCGGTGGACCCGCGGAAAGAGAGGCACAGACCGACGACAAAACCAAGAATGGTGAGAAGAACGGAGTTAACGTTGATGGGTTTGACCCTCATGGAGATGACGGTAATCAGGGTCGACCAAGCTGCGATGAGAAGGAGCGGTACCATCAGTTTGGGGATGATGGACCCGTGGAGTTGCATGACCAGCGGCCATTTCGAATGGCTCTGAAGGTTTCGCGGACCGGTGAAGTAGCTGTCATCGGGCTCGGGAGTGCGATGAAAGAGATGCGGGCGGGTATGGACGCTTGGCGAAGGAGGCGATTGTGGGTAGGATGGGACGTTGAGTCCGGGCGATTGAAGAGGTTTCACATTTTGGGCCGGCTGAGTCTTGTCTTCGGTCGCCTGGACCGTGGCGGTGGTGGCCTGCATCGTGCTCAACGGTTCACGGCGTCGACGACTGCGTTAGGGGACGCGATCTCTGTGAAACTGGGAGAGTCAGTCAGTCTCTCATGGCGAAGTAGAAAGGTGAAGGAAACAGTGGAGATCGGAGTGCCTACCGAGCGTTGATGCACAAATTGACGCGATGGGTGCAGAAGGAAGGAGAGTGGGTGAGACAAGGAAGGAAAAGCCAAGACGTTAAGAGAAAGCCAAGATTTAAGTGAGGGGAGGGGCTGCCCGTATATCAGGAGGAAATGAAAGGGACTTCCGATATGGTACGGCTGACTACGCGCTAAGGCAAGCTAATACTGCAGAGTAACGCTATGATCTAGGTCTAGGCCTAATATAGTAGAGGATTACTTAAGAGCAAATAAAAACCTATAGTAAGATTATATATAAAGAAATAAAATAAAATAATAAAATATCTTTTAATAATTTATTTATATTATTAAATAATATTATATTAAAATTATTATAAAAAGATTTTTATAATATTATTAAAAAAAGATTATTATTATAAGTATTATAAATTAAATTATATATAAAATAATATTATTAATATAAATAATTAAGCCTATAGACTTTTATTTATTATTAAGTTTTAATTTAATATTAAGCCTTAATATTAATACTTTTTAAGTTTATAAAATTTTAATATTAATTCTAAGAATTAATTTCTTTAAATAAATATAAAATATTAATAATTTTTTACCTCCATAGTATAGTAATTCCTACATCTTAGTTATAGTTACCTTTGTAAGAAGGAAGCTATTAGTTTGAGCCTAGTTAGAGGACCCTTTTCCCCTACCTTATATAACTTTATAAAAAGTTATATAGGCTAGGAATTAAACCTATAACCTATATATAAAATAGAGCCCTTTAGTTACTATATTATTATAGCTATTAATTTATTAATAACCCTAGTTAAAATTACTATTAAAATTATTAATTACCGCTATAAGACCTACCTAGCTACTAACTTACCTTATAGCTAATTAACCTAAGCCCCGAGCCCTAACCCTACCGAGGGAGTATATATAATAATAACCTAGCCTTTAGATTATATAAATTAAGTTATATAATTAACCCTAATTAACTAAGATAATTACTAATCTATACTATAAGGTAAGGCCTAGCGAGGTATATATATAACCTAGAGGATAAGAGTAGGGGTTATATAATTAATTATATAATAAGTTATATATTATATAATAAATCTTATTAATTTAAGTCCCTTTTTAAGTAAAATAAAATCTAATAATAATATTATAAAAGATATTAATATTAATAAGAATTATAAATTATATTTTATATAATTATATATTATTATATTTAATTAACTAATAACTAACGTTTTTATTAATTTTTAATTATAATTAAATTAAGAAGCTTTACTAATAAGATAAAGCTTTTAATTAAAGATTTATTTATTTTAAGTATAGCTTAGCTAAAATTAATACTTATATAATATATAAAATACTTATAGCTACTAAGTATATTACCCTATATTATTAGTACTTTTACTTATTCTTAGCTACCTTATATAAGGCACTATGATTTATTTTAAAGCTATAATATTAGAATATTTTAATTAAGCTTTTTAAAGTACTTTCTATTAAAAAGTTACTTATTTTAGCTCTAACTTAATTAAAATTAGTACTTATATAATATAAAAATTATTTATAGCTATTAAATATATTACTCTATATTATATGTATTTTTACTAATTCTTAGCTACCCTATATAACCTACTAAGATCTATTTAAAATTAATATATCTAGAAAGCTTTAATTAAGCTATTTTTAATTAATTATTATATAATTATAAATAATTATTATATTAATTTTAAGGTAATTTATCTTTTTAATTAATTAAAAAGGTTCTTATTAATTTCTAATTCTTTTTTTTAATTTTTAATTTTTAATTTTTTTTATTTTTAATTAATTTCTTAATTATAAAAATAAAAAATAATCTTATAATAGAATTATTATTAATTAGAGAAAAAAAGGAAATTGAGATATCTTAATCATAATATAATTAAAATTAAAATAAATAATAAGACGCGATTTAATAAATATAAATACCTTAGTAATAATAATAAAAGGCATATATATTATTAACGCGGCATAAAAGGAATTAATAATTATTAATAAAAAAATAAAAAGATTAAAATAAAGTATTTATTACTTAAGCTATAGATATATTATATATATAGCGCCTTTACTTATTAATAATACTTAATATATTAAAAAAAAAATATTAATTTAAAAATAAAAAAGAAATAAAAATATTTAATAAAATTATAATCTTAGTTTAAAGGGATATTATCCTTATAATATAAATTATCCTTTAAGGCTCTATTAATATATTTATAAAATATATATAATAAGAATAAAAACTAATTAAAAAGATAATTAAATATAATAATATTAAAAAGGTAATTAAAGAAATAATAAAAAAATAAATTAATAAAAACTAAAATTAATAAATATAATAAAAAAATAACCTAAGTTATATAATAATTATAATATTATTAATTAATATATTACTTATTTTTATAATTATTTATATTATAAAATTAATCCCCTTAAGATATAAATAAGAAATTATTATTTAAATAAATAATTATAAAGCTAATATTATAAATAAAAATCTTAAAAATATAATTATAATAATAAATAAAGTAATTAAAATAAAAAAAATAATAATTATTTATTTCTTATATAATAAGGATATAATAATTACTTTTAAGAAACTTATTAATAGATTTATTAAGGAGAATAATTAG